TCTCACTTTCTTCCTTAAATTTGTAACCAGGTCTTTATATGTATTTGATGAATTATAAATGCTCTTTTCCTGATTTTGCATTTTTTCTAGCTCATTATTTCTGCATAGAAACGTGCCAACTTTGAACAGTAATTATTTAGCTTTTAATTTTATGGTATTATTATTATTAGCTATAATAACACCATAAAAAGAGACTCTTATCAGGTTTTCACCAGACTTTTCAGCAGAAACTATCCAGGCAAGTAGGATATAATTTTCAAAATGCTCACAGATTCAAATCTGTTCAGCAGGTAATACCACAAACTCACAACATTTTTATATATGATGGAAACAGAGGCTTTGGAGACCAATTAAAGTAATAAGAAAACAAATGAAGGGATTTTCTAATACTATTAAGAATTTATACAACTGGGCTGGAAATACAGTCCAGGGACCAAGGTCCTTGCTTTGCGTGTGGCCCATCCGGCTTTAATACCCAGCCCCAAGTATGATCCCTCAAGTCCCGCAGGGAGAGACCCCCTGAGACTGCTGGGTGTGGCCAAAAACTAAGAAAAAAAAAGAAGGGGAAGAGGAGAAGAAAGAATAACTGACATACTCATAAAGTCTCTCCAGGGTTCAAAGAGTAACTTACTGTAGTTTGACATATGTTTTTGGAGTAATCCATTATAATTTACACATATTCTGTTAGACACACGGTTCACCTAAATCCAGAGGAAAATGGATGAGGCTTGAGATGGAGTTTCAGTTCTTCTTGGCCACTGATGGGATTACACGGTGCCAGGGGGCCATTTGGTGGGTATGACCCCCGCCTACTGGAATTTGGAGGATCTGGGTGGAGGATGCTCGGCCCAAATCCGAGTAGGCTTGGAGATCTCGGCCCCAGAACCCACGTGACTTTGTCCCTCTGCCAGTACCTTCATGTGTCCGGAGAGTGGTCTCAGCATGGTGGTGGCTGGTCCTGGAGGTCTTTGGCTGCCAGAGCCCTGGTCGGGGTGGGGAGGAAAGCTCAACCCGCTCCCCTCCAAGGGGCTCCGGTGGCGAGGACAGTCAGGCGCGGGGGCAGGAGACTGCACCGTTCTTCCGGGAGCTGGTTTTTATAGTTTTTATAGTTGGTGCATATTTCTGTACAAACTACCTGTTGGATGAAATCCAGTCCGACCCAAGATGACTTGCTGATTTTAAGTGGGTCAACTATGGCAGCAATTTGCGCTGTCAATTCAAAGGGCATTTATAAATTAGTTGTTTGTGTTACTCACTCCATCACTGTCCTATTAGCTTATTCTGTTTAGAATCCGCAGTCTCACCAAGAGATAAAGAATACAACTGTGTGCGCTCAAAATTAATGACTTCTCATTACCATCTGGCCTGTACACCTCTCTACCAAGTCTTTCTTTTCAAGGTTGATCTGAGGATAGATCAAAAGATAGAAATTCCAGAGTGTGGGAATAGTCTTAGACAATCAGAATTCAGAGAGGTTGAGTCGGGGTCAGAATGCCAGGGGCTTCGGGAAAGGCTTGATTTGTTTGTAACACAGACATCAGCATGGCTTTCACTCCACAAGGGGAGATCTCACTGATTGCACTTGCTAACGCTCATTAAGAACACAACTTAGAGAAGATAAATTAGAAAGTCAAATAGGTGGGCAAAGTGAGCGGAGGCCACAGACAATGAAATTCAGGTCTTGTGATTGATGTGGTTTTTCTCTCTACCTTCTGCAACGTCAGTGAGCTGTGAGGCTCAGTAACGAGTGTAAGTCCAACCTAAACATTGTAGCCGGACGGGTATTGATTGGGAATAAGAAAGATGTGACATCTGGCAATCTAATACTTCCACGTAAATATAAAACGATTATACAGCATCTTTTCAATTTAACAATAACACCTATATACAATATATTTGATAAGTAGTGTTACATTCAGTTGGCTGTAGCAATAACACAGCAGGTAGGACATTTGCCTTGCACGTGGCCGAGCTGGGTTGGATTCCTTTGTCTCTCTCTTAGAGCCTGGCAAGCTACCGAGAGTATCCCGCCCACACAGCAGAGCCTGGCAAGCCCCTTGTGGTGTATTAGATATGCCAAAAACAGTAACAACAATACTCACAATGGAGATGTTACTGGTGCCCACTCAAGCAAATTGATGAACAATGGGAGGACAGTGCTACAGTGCTGTTATATTGGTTGCAACATCTTTTTACTCTTTTTTACCCTACAAATTAAATATTAAGACCAAAACTTAGTTTTCTGAGTTATTTAAGAGGCCATACTGAAGTAGATATGTGAATAAAGACAAGGAAACTTATAAACATTTCTGAATGTCAGCAGCTTGAACTAATGCGCAGTGGTATAAGCTATATTTGTCTGTCAAACCCCTAGACTGTTTGCCACTTCATGATATTATTGATAATAAAATCTGTTATGCTGCCTCATCCTTAAAACCGTAAGTGAAAATTCGATTCTTTGAGGTACTATGAATGATGTTTAGATAGATCAAAATGACTCACGAGAACAGAATAATGCCCATGTTAAAGAAACGGCCAATCAAGAGACAAAGAGAGAGATTACAGAACATTTTGTATTTACTCCTTTTTAAAATATTCAACATATGCATTTTAGTCTCCAAAGAAGGTTTTACAGGTTTAGCTCACACAGTCTGTAACCACTTACATGATAACATTTTTATCCTACTATAAAAAAAAATTGTCAGAAAATTTTTCAGAAAAAGACCTTTATCTGGAAATCTAATTGACAAGGTTATTTTACTCACTGTATTTTTTCTCACTCCACATTGCCCCTACCTTCGCTATACAGAGAAGGAAGTGAACAGTGCTTACATGGGTGTGAGTTCTTTGCTTTTCAAATATTAATCGATACTATATAGCTGAGTCAATATTTATCAAAAACAATTTCAAAGTGACAAAATAGTCAAGCATAAGGTGAAAGTTTGCGATCTCAAATGCATACATCCCTCCCGTTGATCGTCGATTTGCTCGAGCGGGCCCAGTAACGTCTCCATTGGAGACTTTGTTGTTACTGTGTCTGGCATATCGAATACTCTCGGTAGCTTGCCGGGCTCTCCGAGAGGGGCGGAGGAATCGAACTCGGGTTGGCCATGTTGGCCGCTTGTAAGGCGGATGCCCTACCGCTGTGCTATCGCTCCAGCCCCAACTGCATCTCACAGTAACTCAAATAGAGAATATTGGAAATAAGGTATATTTATCTATTAACAGATATAATTGAGGCAATTTTCATACAATTTGACTAAACCATTGTGATTTTCAGCCCAAAATTCTCAGAAGTAACTTGGAATATAATCTTTATATATATATACAATCTTTATATTATATATATAATCTTTATATATAATCTTTATCTATATACTCTTACCCTTATCAATTTTGTCTTCTGTGTTCTTGACCTGGGACTCTTTTGTGGTAGATACTATTATTTCTGCCATTTGGCAGACAATAATGGCTCTTAATTGAGCATTCTACTTTACATATCTAGTAGACACTGTACAAATGATCATTTAGAGAGTCTAACTCCAAAGAGATTTCCAGAGACTGCCAAATCTTACATATAAAATTGAACATGTTTTTTCAAATGGTTAAAATTGGATAATAGAAGAAAAGGTGGTATTTTTAGTTAATATTAGAGGGTCAGTTTTGTTGATTATCGCTAGTTAAAGAATAAAATTGATTAGATATTGAAATTCATGATTAAGCAAGAGCTTATTAAACATCTGTTATGAACTTAATATTATGCAATGGTTTATGAAAGAAAAAATGATGTGGTGGATACAATAAGCGGCATAATTTCTGTAAAACGGAATACGAGTAGAGAATATTGAAAATAAGACATATTTATCTATTAACAAATATAATTGAGGCAATTTTCATGCAATTTGACTAAACCATTGTGATTTTTTAGCCCAAAATTCTCAGATAGAAGTAACTTGGAATATAATCTTTTTCTATAAATCTTAAATAATGTTCTATTATTAAAGGGAAAAAGAATGAACCAAGGTGTATGAAGAAATATGACCTACAATGCTCTGTGGTTGGGAAATGAGCCTTTATCGTAAAAAATGAAAAACGCAGATTGCAGATTCTCCGTGAATCTCAAAAACCTCCATTACTATTGAAGAGCAAAACAAAATTAAAGCCTAATTTGGCCTTTTCTCTTCGAATTTGGAAACATATTACAAGAAGGATAAAAACAAGCTCCAATAATTTAGGATCATCGGTTTTTATGATTCTGTGATATAATTTTTTAGATTAATATTAAGATGGAACTGTGCAATAGAAATAATGTTGTCAAAATTAGTCTCCAGAGAGACCAGAAAGATAGTCCAGCAGGCAAGGTGCATGCCGTGCCTGGTACCAACCTGGGTCCAGTCCCCAGTAACACATATGGCCCCCATGCCCTGTTAGGAGTGATCTCTGAGCATAGAACCAGGAGTAAACCCTGAACACAGCTGGAAGTGGCCTCGAAACCAACTGAGAATCAAAATTAGTTTCCCGAGTAAGTTTCTGTAATCGGCGGAACATTGCTTCCTACTTAATAGATATTTGCATGTTACAAGATATGGCTAAAACCCTCACCTGACTTTTAATTTCAATACAAACACATGTTACTTTGCATAGTTATTTGATTTGGGGTCTCAGTTTTCCAGTGAAGTATATAAGGCTGTATTAGGTGAGTCAGGATTATTTTCAATTTCACCCTTATTATGCTGTGCATATATTTAAAGCGATATTTAAATATTTTTAAAGATTATATTTTTAAATTTTAAGAATATATTTTTATATATTTAAAGAGTACATTAAATATACCCCAGGCATACATTTAAAGTGATATTTGAATATATTTAAAGATTAATTGCTTGCCCAAATTAATATTGTATTTATAAATATAGTATTCTTAGAATTTTCTTTTTATGTTTTTTATTATTATTTCATGTCTTCGGAAATCTTACATGAGTATCTTTTCTCCCCTATAGGGTGGAGTTAATGGGTTGACTGGAGAGCTAGAATTTGGAGAAAATGGAGGCAATCCGAATGTCCACTTTGAAATTCTTGGAACTAACTATGGAGAAGAACTTGGCCGAGGTGTTCGCAAAGTAAGATCAAATACCTTAGTTCTTGTGGTGTTCTCCTTAGCAACTGCAAATGTGTTTTATTATTTTCCGCATGATGCAGTCATAGTTTACACTAAAGTTCACATTGTACTTAAAAGCAAAGTGGGCAGAGACAGTGGGAAAAAAGCATTATTTAAAGGATGACTAACTAGTACCAACCAGAAGTGTGAACCGTAAGTTCTATTTATGACCTAGAATGATATAAAAGGAAAAGTAACTGATGAATGTGTAGCGAACCGCTATCATCGTTTATTCATTTATAATACATTATCTTAAGGAAGTGAACTCTTGTTAAATACTGCAGATCAGTATAGGGAGAATCCAAGTGACTATAAAGGATGTTTCACTTAATTCTATGACAACAATTCTTTCCAGGAGAAATTGGAAAGTCCCTGGGGAAATGGCTTTTGTATCGTTTGGATTTTCCATTTTTATATTGTTTTGGTAGAGAAAAACCTAAGGTAACTGACTGCGCATACAGAGCTCAGAGCTTTAAATTTCCAACTGCATGAACGGGCTGCTTTTGCGGCTGTTGTTGGTCTCTCTTCCCAGTGCTGGGCGAAGGACACAGAAAAATCCCACACGAAACAAAGATGAGCTATGTGGATCAGCAATAAAACCCACTTGGTAAATTTGTGTTTGGATAGCTGAAACTTGGTTAATGGGTTTCAGAAAGCATCAGGCTAGTTCAGTGGGTTAATGTGAAGAGAAATATCACTAATGTGGTCAGAAAATCCAACATTTCCAACATACTAAATACCATCGTTCTGATTTCACCCCCCACCTCTTTTCCCAGCGGTGCAATTAGTCTGAATTTTATGACACTCATTTATTCACGTTTATAATATGTTTTCCTCTGCATGCATCCTTAAAATGATTGAGTTTTGACAACATTTCAATTAATAAATGACTTAATACCGCATACATTATTTTTTCATGCTTCTTATGAATGCAGGTTCTGTGTCTGTGATTTATTTATTTTATTGGTTTGGGGGCCATGCTTGGGCTTACTCCTGGCCCAGCACTCAAGGATTACTCTGGGCAGGCTTCAGGGACCACATGGGGCGACCAGAGGTGGAACATGGGTTGCCCCTGAGGAAGGCAGATGCCCTACCTGGGTACCAGTTGCCTGCCTTTGTATGTTACTTACTCTTGTTGTTTGTTGCTATACCATTGATCTCTGTGGAGAGTGTCTCATTCTGCTGTGCTTAGTTTCCAAATTTAGACTACTAGAGCTGCTATGAATACTCTTGGGCCTGTATATTGGGTTTGCGTTCTTATACCACTGCATATGCACCTGTGATTTAGTTTTCACGAGTTGGAGTCTGAGATACAATAAGTCTTGTCCGGATATTTAAAAGACAACAAGTCCATTTTCGTACTTATGGATCAATTTGTCTCACTCGGAGTGCAGTGAAATCTCATTGTCCCATGATCTTACAAAAATCTTGATTTTGTCAGATATGACATTCATTACATTTGTTTTGTGTGTGTGTGTATATGTGTGTGTTTGTGCATGTGTGTGTGGTGTACGTGGTGTGTGTATACTCATTATAGCCTCATGACTTCAATGCGTATTGCTACAATTGTAGAAAGATTTTGTGCTTTTCCCTGTAGTCTTGCTCTTCCATTATTATTATTATTATTATTATTATTATTATTTGTTTTGAGCTGATCCTCATTCAAGTCTTTGGCTATTTCCGCTGAATTGTTTTGTTTGTAGTATTGATCTAGAAGTTATGCATGAATTTTGAATGTGAGTCTTTCATCAAGTAATTTCATCAATTACATAAATTTCCTAATTTATTTTCATTTAATTCACTGTACCTTTACATTTTACAGAATTATGAATTTTCTTTTATTGCTACTTTCTTTTAAAAAATCATTCTTTACTCTCAGAATCCTATAATGTTATGCTTAAATATATTTCTAAAACTTTAGAAGTCTGCTTTTCTATGTTTACTTGATATTTTCAATATGTGAAAAATAGTATGTTTCTTCTTCAATATAAAAAGTAAGTAAAAGTAAAGGCCCTCCTGTTGTTCATCAATTTGCTCGAGCAGGCCCAATAACGTCTCCATTGGAGACTTATTGTTAACTGTGTTTGGCATATCGAATACGTTACGGGGAGCTTGCCAGGCTCTGCCGTGCGGGCGAGATCCTCTCAGTAGCTTACCGGGCTCTCCGGAGGGACGGAGGAATCGAACTCGGGTCGGCCATGTTGGTTGTGTGCAAGGCAAACGCCCTACCGCTGTGCTATTGCTCCAGCCCTATTAATTTTACATTTTTTGGGGGCCACACTCAGTGATGCTCAGGTACTACTCCTGACTCTGCACTCAGGGATCACTCCAGGTGGTCTCAGGGGACCGTATGGGATGCTGGAAACTGAGCCCAAGGCTGTCATGTACAAGGAAAGTGTCCTTCCCACTGTTCTATCTCTCCAGTCCCTTAACACTTGTATTTTTATTATTTTTATTTTTAGCATCTTTTGACATTTCATTGATTTATCACTGCCGCTGTCCTCCCATTGTTCATCAATTTTCGAGTGGGCACCAGTAACATCTCCATTGTGAGACCTGCTGATATTGTGTTTGGCATATCAAATATGTCACGGATAGCTTGCTAGGCTCTGCTGTGTGGGCGAGATACTCTCGGCAGCTTGCAGAGCTCTCTGAGAGAATGGAGGAATTGAACCCAGGTTAGCCGCGTGCAAGGCAAACACCCTCCCCACTATGCTATCGCTCTGGCCCCATATAATAGCTAAGGTAAAGGTAAAAGGTAAAGGCCCTCCTGTTGATCGTCGATTTGCTCGAGCGGGCCCAGTAATGTCTCCATTGGAGACTTTGTTGTTACTGTGTCTGGCATATCGAATACTCTCGGTAGCTTGCCGGGCTCTCCGAGAGCTATAATAAGAGCTAGGGGTGAAAAAAGCAAAAAAAAAAAAGACTATGAGATTTAAAATCTGGCCACTCAGGCAAATATTGTTGTCTTGTCTCAAACAGGGTCAAACAAAGGAGAATCTGTTGCCAGAAATATCTTTGACATTCAGTGGAAATGTGCTCTGGATCACAATTTAAGTGCTCTCTTGGGGCTCAATAAAAAATCATAGAGAAAATTTACTAGACTTTGGAAAGTGTTAATCATTTATCCATATAACTTGTACTTGCAAAAACTGGATAACTTGTGTTTATTTCAAACTCTGTAATTTGGTTCTGCAAGCAATAAATTTAGCTGAGAAAATGATTGGCTGTGTTTAGACCTTTTTGGGCAACAGCTACTTGCCTTTTATTATGACTATTATTGTCATTATTATCATTATTGCTTGGATTGGGACTGGGCCTCCTCCACCCAGATCCCCCATCTTCCAGTATGTAGGCGTTACACCCACCAACTGCCCCTGGTGCCGTGTAATCCCATCAACAGCCAAGACCCAGAGAATATAAAATCCTGCTCCTGGAAGCACGCGGCTGCAAATGTGGCCACGCGACATCTTATTATCTAGGTCTTACTCTGGAGAACCTGGCAGGCTACCAAAAGTATCCTGCCCACATGGCAGAGTCTGGCAAACTCCCCGTGGCGTATGCAATATGCAAAAAAACAGTAACAATGATGGGGTTCATTCTCCTGACCCTGAAAGAGCCTCGAATGTGGCACTTTTTAAAATCTCAGGGCTAGGATGAAGGAGACGTTACTGAGGCCTGCTCGAGGCAATCAACGAACAACAGGATGACAGTGACACGGTGATTGCAGGAAATCATTGTAGGCAAAATTCTTAGATAACTGCAATCTGAAAACTTCCTTTTGAATTTTCCAACTCCCTTTGTTTTGTAGGTTTTTGAGACATACTCAGTCCAGTGCTTGGGGATCACTCCTGGCAGTGCTCAGGGACCCATAATGGAACACAAAGATCCCCCGTGCAAAGTATGTGCTCTAAACATTGGGCAATCTCCATAGCCTAGATTTTCATGCCGAACAATGAAAGAATTTAGGAGCTGGAGCAATAGCACAGCAGGTAGGGCGTTTGCCTTGCACGCAGTCAACGTGGCTGACACAGGTTCAATTCCCAGCATCCCATATGGTCCCCCGAGCACCGCCAGGAGCAATTCCTGAGTACATGAGCCAGGAGTAACCCCTGAGCATTGCCGGGTGTGACCCAAAAAGCAAAAAAAAAAAAAAAATCCAGATGGGGCTGGAGCGATAGCACAGCGGGTAGAGGATAGGGCGTTTGCCTTGCACCGGGAGTGATTCCTGAGTGCATGAGCCAGGAGTAACCCCTGAGCATCACCGGGTGTGACCCAAAAAGCAAGAAAAAAAAATTAAAGAATTTATCAGATGTCCGTGTAGTGTGCCTTGTAGGGATGATTCCCCCTATTTCTCATGTTGTTGATAAAGTGATGGCAACCATGCCGGCTTTATTGAGTCCCCATAAAGGGGCTGTTGGCAAGGTGTCAGCATTTATGTGGAAAACAACCCAATCTCATCCCAAGGAAGCATAAGGTATGAGTAAGCTAACATATGATGAACATAAGGAGGAATATGATAAAAGTTGAGGCCTTTTGAATAGAGGCCTCAAATTATAAATTGATTATAATTCGCATTAAATAAAAAGGTCGAATTTTAAATTCCCCGTGGTCTCAACATTTGCGTTCCGGCGTTCCTGGATGATGTTGTGGAATATTTCCAGCACTCACAGAGTCGCATCAGTCTCATTTTCATGCTCATTGAGCTTCTGCTTAGTCATAATGGTCATATAAATCCTAACCGCTTAAACTGTGGGTTGTTATTCCATATGGGATATGGAACTGAATGTGGGGATCATGAAAAATTCAGCAATACCGTTAAAGGATTCTGAATGCACAACTACCAAAAATGAATTCAAAATCAATTATGCAATGAATCAGAGGCATTTCTGGCCATGTACCTCAATGTTGCATTTTTGGGGGCTAAACAGGGTTAACAAGTGGAAAACGTCTAAGAAAACC